GGAGGCTCGGAGCAAAGGTACAATCGGTGTCCGAGTACGAAGTACAGGACAGCGGTGGAAGGCTGTAACTTGGCAGGGGATCGACAGAAGAGGGCCAGAGGGAAGAGAGAGGATGGAGGATGGAGGAAAGGTGTGGAGGAGAGGAAAGGTGTCAGGTCCGAAGGTGGGTATCAGAGCGGATGGGAGAAGAGTAGGAGGGTGACAGAAGGATGAAGGTGTTGTGGGGAGGAAGCAGAGGAGTGGGAGGAGGGGTAGTAGGAGGGTGGCGAGAGGGGTGGTGTTCGGTCCGAGGTGGGTATCGGAGTGGACAGAGATAGGAGAGGAGAGGGAAGGAGTGGAGGTGGCATGGGAGGTGAGAGGAGGTGTGGTGCCAGGACCGAAGGTGAATATCAGAGTGGACAGCAGTAGGGTAGGACTCCGGAGGTGGTGAAGGAGGAGGTCCAGGAGTCGGGTATGCACGGATATGACAGAAATACATATACCCATACAGCAAATGTACAATTTGTGAAAATAGTCCGAAATATATGGGTTTGGCTGAGCTAAGCCTCCACCAGCAATGGCGGTAAGGTTCGGCTGCTGTTGGCTTAGAATACAATTCCAAACAACAAAAGAAATTGAAAAGGAAAAACACAAACTTCCTCATAGCACTCTAAACACTGCATCAAACCTCCGTCCCTTTATTCCATCCGACTCTCCTTATCCATAGCTTTCTAATGATACCGATTTTGTGAAATATGGTGGAGATTTGACTGAGAATGGGAATTCTCAGATTGTCATATCCATCCCTGGCCATCGACTTCCAGTTCCTCCAATCCCTCCAGTCTAACTCCGCTCCTCCCTCACTAACCTCGGAGCTCCCGTATTCCGCAATCCTCTCGGTACCCCTCGATGGTCACCACCCCCTCATTTCAATTTATTACCTACACCTCCCTAAGTACGGAGCCCCAAAGACTTCCGGACAGCTCCGACGTCCGCTAGCGCACTCCCGCCTCCACTGGACAATACACTTGCCTGCCCTGCAGAGCCCACCTTCGGGCCTATCCCTCCTTTCCGTTTCTGGGTTATCGCCTGCCTTTCCGCTAACCCCGCGACCCGACTCGTCGGTAATATTCAGTCAGCTAATGTTTAAACCCCGTTAGCTCCGCTCCGTTCGGCTCCGCCAATTGCGGACCCGTCTTCACTGTAACCATATATATATCCCACTTGTGTTAGAATGGGCGGAAACGGACGACTCCGGAGTGGAATCGGAGACTTAGCATGGAGGGACCTTGGCCTCAGCGACTCAAGCGGAGCGCTGTGCCATTGCTGTTTGTCCATTTGGTCCTTAATTTCACAGTAGGTGAGCAGGAAGTCTCTTGGGGGCATTTCAGGTCGATTTCGGACTAAAACCAAAACGAGTATGTACAAGCGCCGATATATATAATGGAAGGGGCAAAAGCACAAAGAGAACAAAGGGTGACCGAATCGGAACGAAGATGTCCGAACGGGAACAAAGGGTAGAGGGGGCGGAGCGGTACCGAAGGTCATAGGGCAAGACCTGTGATACGTCCGAAAGGAGGTAGAGAGGGCGAGGCCCAGAGGGGCAGGAGGATGAGGGGAAGTGGGGATGATGACTAACTGGCTAGAATAGAAAGAAGCAGTAGTCCAAATAGGGATGAAGGGAAAATGCGAGAAATACATTACAGGCGGCGAGAGTGCCGAAGGCGGTCCGCGAAGCTCGGGGGTTGCGGAGCTTACGGAGGTTACGGAGGCGGGGTTGGAAGTCCAAGGAATATTGGCAATGGTGTTTACGTAGTATGAGGTCACCAATGCAATGGACTAAGGCCGAGGTGGAGTCAAAGTCCGAGGTAGGGACTATGACGGAGGCTCAGAGTAAGGTACGAGCGGTGTCCGAGTGCGAAGTACGGGACAGCGGTGGAAGGTCGTAACTTGGTGGAAGGGTGGCAGAGGAGTAACGGAGGGAGGAGAGAGGGGACAGGTAAGGGGAGAAGGAGTGGCGGAAAGGAGAGTAGTCAGGTCCGAAGGTGGGTATCGGAGCGGACGGGGGAAGCGTAGGAGGGTGGCGGGAGGGTGGAGGTGTTGTGAAGGGGGAGCGGAGTAGTAGGAGGGTGGTGAGTGGGGCGATGTTCGGTCCGGGATGAATATCGGAGCGGATGGAGGTAGGGTCGGAGAGGTAAGGGGGAGGTGTGTTTACCAGGACCGAAGGTGAGTATCGGAACGGCAACGGTAGGTTATGACTCCGGAGGTGAAGAGGGTGGAGGTCCGGAAGTCAGGTCGGGGTCGGGTATGCACGGATATGACAACTTGTACATAGGTTACACCCCAGTAATAAAATCAACTAGAGTTACCCCCCCTTCGGTTCTGATTGCCAGTCAGTAAGTTAGGGCACGGACGTGTCACTAGGCACAGCGCTCTTGGCAGAAGTCACTGAGGCCAAAGCCCTCCATCACGGAGACTCTCCCTCGTCTCGAATCTGGTCTTTGACACAGATGCAGTATACATATCTTCATTATCCATGCACAGGGAAACTTGGTCCAAATAAAATGCCATAGTTCCTAGACTCCTCCAATGACTTCTTCAGCATTTATATTATTTGACTAGCCCATATTTTCATTGAGACTAGCTCACATGTGAGCATCCGAACAGTTCATATCGTCCCATGACTCCCATCATGCCTGACAATCAGAATATCTCCACAACCACAGAACCGATTAGGGTGAAATTCGACAATGAGTCTTTGGGCATTTTTCTGGATTTTATGACTCCAAGATCGTCCTCTTCCATCAACTTTTGACCCTGTTCCATGGTCGTGGTCAAGTGCATGCACTTTGCACATGAGGACATCTCAGGTTGGATTTCTCCACCAAATCTCAACCAATTCCTTTGTGGAAAGGTTCTTTCGGTTTGTACGAAAACCCTCTTTCTTCTTTCTTATTACTCCCTCCTAGGATTCCTTTTTCCTAATAATGTACAAGGGCAGGAGCCCAATTTTGACGTATTTGCTGCATAAGGTCCCATGAAATTGAGCACACCTGTTATGCACTCCTACAATGTCGGAGCTGTCCAGAGCCCTTTGGGGCTCTGTACTTAGGGAGGTGCAGGTAATATATTGAATTGAGGGGGTGGTGGCCATTGGGGGAGTCAGAGGTATGTAGTTGTGGAATCCGGAGGCTCCGAGGTTAGTGACAAAGGAGCAGAGGTGATCCAGAAGGAACAGAGGTGGTGGAAGGTGATGGCTGTGGATGGATATGACACAGAGGACTATTGGCTCTATGAGCACCCTGAGCCCATGTTAAAATATTCAAAAAAATTAAAAAGCTTGACTACAGTATCATATGACTGGCCACAGTCAAGTCCCTACCCTAGGGTCAACTGGACAACAGTCTACTTAACTTGCAACCCCTCATGTGGCACTGCACACCAAGGCCACACAACCCAATTGATATATACACTGAATTTAGGGTTATAAGTACAGTTAAACTGGCCTCACAATTCCCTCCCCCCTTCATCCACGATTTTTTTCTTACTGCATACAACTTTCTGTTCCCTTCCGTTAAATGCCCCACAGTTATGAAGGCGCCCGGGCCCCTGCCTGTGCGTCTTCACGCTTGCATCCTATTCATTTCCTTCATTGTAATTGGCGGATTCAAAACAAATATCATCATTTTCATATTCACTGCGTTTAAGCCAAAAATTTCCGCTGTGGAAATGGAGGGGATAACCGGATTTCCACGCAATTTCCCACAGCGGATATTGGTTCTGTCCGCTGGCGGATTGAGCGTCACTTTACCATGGTTGGGGCCGGGAAATGATGGGGATTTGGTGGTGGCTGATAATCTATTATATTGATTCCCCGTCCAACCCACGTCTGGAAAGCACATATATATTTCTCGATGTACATACAAGAAAATAAACTATAAAACTTTCTGCCCCTACCCTAGCCTTTCCTTCCACACCTTCCACTACTTCACACACAACTGTAGCGTTATCTAGCATCAGTTTGCGGCAGACAACAAGTACAATTAATAAGACATGGGGAGTTGGGAAGTGAATATACATCATATCATCGCCAGAAGCGAGAGGGGGAGAGGGAAGAACACTGGATAAGGTGGTACTTGTCAGTGGGAGTCCTATATACAAGATGGTTAGGGAACAGATGAACATACGAAAATATCAACTTAACGCTGTCCTGGCACATCCGTACCAGGACAGTGTTAACTCATTGGTGAACCATAGAGTAAAAACCCACATAGCAAACAGGAGCTGAAGAGTCCACAGGACAAACCACCAGATATTAGCTCAATGGACTCAGAGACTAGTCCACTAGAGAAGAGACCACCAAGATGGCCCTGGATGTTGAACATAACGTGTCCAACCCCGTGCATCTAGAATAATGGCACAGAGAGCCACAAAAGATATGACAACCCAAGTAACCCAGAGTAGAAGTCCAGCCAGAGTCCACTGAGTCCGCAGTGAAAGAGCAAGTACCTGCAAGTACACCTGGATGTTCCAGCTAAGTTGAACATCGAAAGGGAACAACAACATATGCCAACAAATAACACAGACGCGTTGCCCAGGTGATTTGTTGGACAGTTTATGTTATATGCAACAGAAAGTGAGAGGATGGGACGATTTGATGCAAAGTCTTGAGGGAAAGCGGGCGGATTGCATGGAGAAATTGGGGACACGTGGTTTCCCCCCCATTTCCACTGTCGGACAGCACACATCAATTTTCCATCGACATTTCCGCTGTTGGATAAACAGGCTTCGATTTTCCATTGCGGAAAGGGCTGGGATTCCACGGCACTTACGTTTCTGACAGCGGAAAGGGCTGCGGAAATTTTTGGCTTAAACGCAGTGATTTGTGTAAATTCATCAAACACGTGATTTTTTGCGCTCATCTCAGAGGGGTTTTGTAGGTTCACTGTCATCTTCCACTCAGACAATATGAGTTCTTGACATTGAATTCCCCCCCTTACACGGAGAGGAAACACGTTAGGCAGGTAGTATACAAAATTTGCGAAATGTAAACCATGGAACCAAGAAGACTGAATTTCCTGTATGGACGTGACCGTCCAGTCAATTAAGCAAATGTTAGAATGGAATGGGAAGGACCTGATTGCAGCGAACTCGTGGTTATCAATGACGAGCAGACCCATCTGGCCGATCCTACACAACGCTCGCCTGCTCCTGGCCACTTCCGTTTGCCCTAGCAAAACCCGAAACCAACCACCCATAAACACCCTCCAACCCTTTCTTCCCACCCTCACCCGTCACCCCACCCATCGTCAGCACCAAATGGGCCCCACATGCAGCTAACACCACCAACGCAGCAAACGCCCCCACACTAGTCATCACCCCGCCACCATTCCCGGCTCTAAGCAACGTCTGAGTGATATGAGCGCCTGGGTACGCCGAAGCAGATTGAGCTTTTAATTCGTTCTCTTTCTCTAGCGTTTGCGTGGTGTCTATGCAGGAGAACAGACCCCCATTGTAAAGGAAAGCAGCATGTGCTTCTGCGATGACGAGTTCTGTGTGAGGTGGTGAAAAGTGGCGCGCTCGTTAGTATCGTGTTGATGATAACGGACGATCCGATACACGATGGGGATGGGATGGAAGTGGGTAGGACCAATGAAGTGAAATACGGTGAATTGGTTGCCATGTGAAAATAGTGGAAATGAAATGGACAAGTTCCGTTTTGGAAGGGAAAGGAAAGAGATGGGAGAGGGGTGGCCACAGAAGCAAAAAAAGAAACAAACAACACACCTTTTAGCTTAGGATCTGTGACAGCCTCATCAAGCCCTTCCTTGAACCAAGCCTTAATCTTCCTAATCTCATGCATCTCCGCAGGCCGATCGCCAGTCCTATAATCCAACGTCCTAAAATTATAAAACGCACTCCCTTCACCATCCTCATACAATCCATACGACTTGATGAGCTTCCTCCTAATCATCTGCCCTCCACTCAAGTCCCCTAAATACCGTACGTACGCATGCGCTGCAAGACAGGATACCTCTTCGCTCGTAGCTTCAGAACGACCAAGATAGGAAAGACGATCGATGTAAGCTTGAACGGGTTTGGGAATGTTGTTGTAGAAGGAGACGTAGAAAGGATCGGTTTGCCATGTCACGGTTCCGAGATGATGACATATGTCGAAGGAGAGAGCTGATGCGCGAGAGAAGACTCGTGGGTGGTAGATATGGTATAGGACCGGATGTTCACGATGTTCGTACAGTCCTCGTTCCAGTTCACTGCCGGTCGGTCAGGTGCGGCGTAGACATCACAGTTGGTTTGCGAGCATATAATTGGCGTCATGGCGTCAAGAAAATAAATAATAGTTAGTACGAATCCAAAACACAGGTGCCCTCTATCTCCTATCCAACCCTCCGATAGAAAATACAATGAGACAGGAGGAGCCACAACTCACTCGTAAATATGCCAAAGCATAAACAGAACCCTCGTATATTCCCGATTGCCAAGTTGGCCCTGTGTAAGTAATTGTGCGCCTTCGGAATCCTCAACGGCTGTATGAACATCTGCCGTACCCTCCCTCAATAGTTGCGAAATCGGTCTGGTTAGATCCAGATCCGGAGGTAACTTGAAGGAAGGTGGGCTGGAGGGTGACGAGGGAAGCGTGAAGGTTTGTTGTTGGCTCGTTGGAGGGAGAATGTTTGGAGTAGTAGTTTCATTTGCCTTTTTCCCGTCTGTTGGACTAGCGGTTTGCTTTTTGGAGGGAGTTTGAGCATGACGGTTATTCTGTGAGCCGGGGAACACATGGCACTCACGGCGGCTACGTGCGACATCGCTAAGCAGTAGATAAAGGCACGGCTAATAAGACAAACAAGTCGTTCCGCGTGAGCCTAGCTGGGCCTTGGTGCTAGTGGTAGTTGTAACGAGGATGAAGGAAGGAAAGGGGGGAAGGAGGCGAGGAATAACATCCGTTCTTGAATGAATTAAAGTTTCATCATCACGAGAATGTGTGAACATTGTACCAGCCCCCGGATCTTATTGATCCCAGGCATAATTCATTGCTCTTGCCACGATCCCGCGATCCCGCGATGGAGTCATCCATGATCCTTCGACCTCAATTAGGGACAGATACCGACGCTGTCCTTCAACATCCTTTCTTCAGAGGCAGTGGCAGGATTCGAGGTTGCGAAGGTCGTCACTCCCAGCATAAGAAGGGAAATTGACCGTTCCCAAAATGATGATCAATTCATCTCTTAAGACACACACGAACTATGCGTTTTTGTCGCATGCTCGGGAAAAAAAACCGTAACGGAAGGTTACGCGCCGCCAACGCGACGCGCGGGGCCCACCCATAACACCCCAAAGGGTCGCAGTGCAAGCGCCGGACTCAGCCATTAAGCTAACTGGTGTTTTCCTATTTCCTCGCAACCGCGGCCGTTACATGACCCAGAGCCTCGCGCAAATGATTAGATGTACAGGTGACAACACAGTACTCGGGTAATCAGGCCAACATAAAATGGGATCTTCATTTGGGTTGAGCTCAATTTGTGCATCGAAAAGCAAGCATCCAAGGCCAAAGCATGCAGATGCGTCAATGACACGAGAAAGCCTATGGACCCGGTGATTCACTCTGCAATCGATCACAAAGGAGTCGCGTCGCAACCTGGCAGAATCATAATCTGTACGCCAATTGGCCAATTTCTTCCTTTACGCACGGCTTGTTCCCATGTTAACAGCATCTACAACAATCCATTGGCATACTCGAATTCCTTGCTGTTCTCATACTAGCAGACCAGAACGATCAATCAGTATCACAAAATCCAGACATCAAATGATCGGAAATCTCAAAGGGCACGCACCTCCCACATATCAACCGCCACGATACAGCTCTCCCTAACCACCTCCGGAGCCTCAGGTTTATCCCTCCATTCTCTTAAAATCCTCAAAGTGCCCTGCCCACTCGATCCTTCCTCTTCAGCAATACCCCCGAGGGCTTCAGCCGCTTCGTGTCTGACCATCGGCGATTCATCGGGCCGTTCGAGAACTTTGACAAGAGCGGGGATCGAATGGGGGTGTGACAACTGACCCATGATGAATGCTATTTCGTGTCTTGACATAGGATAGGAGAGAGAGAGAAACATTCAAGCGCGTGAGGAAAAGCCAATCTTGTTGCGAAGATGAGAGAAAGTGGCCTTACTTGAATAGAGCGTTGTCATCCAAGAACCCTGCTGACAGAGCATCAATCGCCTCTGGCGTACCGATGTTTCGCAGGGAGAACATAGCTCTGTAACGATCGAATAAAGAGTGGGTAACATCTAGGAGCGTCCTCTTTAGTGAATCGATTTCTGTGGACGTGGAAGGTGTGGTGAAAGGGGGTGCAGGGTCAATGGACGTGAACTTCCTGGTCGACCAATGTGAAAAACCCATTCGAAGAGTATAAGCTCACGAAATCGGATAAAGGAAAAATGACGGCACCTATCGATAGCCCCATTATCCTTCCCCTCTTCGCTCTCATTCCACTCAATCTTCCTCAATGAAATCTGACAAGTCTCCCTAACCACCTTCCCTTTCTCCCCTTTCCCTCCCTCATCGACAAACCGTCTAAGAATCTCCACACTCCCTTTACTGTCCAACGCAGCCAAAGCCTCAGCAGATTCATGTCTAACCATCTCCTCCTGCCCCTCAACATCACTGAGTACTTCTTCTAGGATTGGGATGGCTAGCGGTGAACCGATTTGACCTAGGACATAGGCAAGTTCGTGTCGAAGGAGAGAACGGACGGTCGGCGCGTGAAGGGCCTTTCCGAGGAGCGATATTATCACTTGCTCGGCATTTGGTGGGAGAATTATTATTGGTGTTTGGGTGGATGGCGATTCGGAATTGGAATTGGACGTGTCGTTGTTGAGGAGTGACGTTGTTGATCTTGGGCTAGTGGATACGGAATGAGAGTTGGCTGCCGCTATTGCGCGTTGACATAGAGATTTTAGGGTGAAGAGCGTCCGATAGGAGGATGAGAGTGAACAATCTCTGGAAGCATTTATGAGCCTATCCCCTAACGCTCGAAGATGCTCCTCTGTTACAACGTTGAACTTTGCTGAATCGGAATCTGTCATGCTGACCTCCGGAAACGTAAATGATCGGATGTAAAAGAATCGATCGGCTTCAATAATTAGTACTGGCTTCTCTTGTACCTTACGTGGGAGTAAGAGACCGATCGATCGCCGCGAACGAGAACTGTCAAAGGATCTATCCAAAGTGCTGACGGGCAATTGAATCAAATTGAAGGTGGAGTAGTGGCTGTGCACATGGACATGTGATCTCCAAAAAATTTCCGTGCCGAGGAAAAATTGAAGTCAGATAGATTTCGCTTCACTAGACTTGCTGGAGACGTTTAACCTTTCGGCTTTCTGAGGGCCTCTACGGACTTCCCACCTTGCTCATAATTAATCGACACGCTCCACACCCTTTCCCAGAATCCCCCCTCGTGGCCCTGCTTGTCTACTTAGATGCCTCGCGCAAGACGTCCGAAGCTCGGTAAGGGACTCGCGCCTTCAACCGTTGAAATCTTTTTTTCACTGCACGTCTTTGGCTTAGTGAGTCTTACGAAGACAGAGAAGAAGATAACCAAAGCGCATAAAGAGAATTTCGTTGCGGATGTGAGGACATCTCACTAGTACCGCCGTAACGCTGTACTCTTTTTTTTTCACGTGTTGGCAACGCTGACGGAATGATATATTTATGGGTCGGGTAACAATTTTAGGTTCGAGAACATGTGGCAAAGTGGAAATACGTCTATGTGTTGCGTGTCGGGAACATAAGGAACTCGGCACTAAAAATCGTGAGGGAGAAATGGAAGGGGTACGCCTATGCTTGCCCCCTTTTTTTGCTGGGTCTGCGTTACCAACTTTCCTGGTGGTTGGAAATCATAGAACTGCAAGATTGTTCTTTGGACGGATCCGTGTCATGGCTGTAGCACTCGGGACGTCGGAAGATAACGAATGTCGCGATGGGATTCATGCTGTATCAAAAGTGAGTGTGCCATATGGACCCTACTTCCCCTCCTATCAATAACACCTACGATTGCTGATGTTCTTGTGAACCCATTTAGCATCTACAAGGCGGAGACGGCCTTTTCTTCACTGATTACCCACCCGATGAAGTCGAAGCTTGGTTCGACCACTTTGCAAAGCCAGATTTTGCACGATCAGGGAACACGGCCAAAGATACCATAACACTTCCAGTCGGTAAGCCATATTTATCTATGATACTTGTGCGCGCGAAGGGATCAAATGATCTTGTCTACTTCATTTCTCGACGTACCACTTTTTCTTGCCTCCCCAATCAATGTCTCAGGTCCAATCACAATACACGGTGACGATACGGCAACGTTCCCTTCATCTATGGAACCTCAATTTAGAAAACTCGGACTGACGACAGTCATGAAACGTGGGGTACCAAGCTTAGACTACGAGCACGTCATTTGCAAGGTACGCTCAGTTAACTCTTGGCAAATGCTGCCTCATCTGATCATTCCCCCTCGATTGCGCCGTATGATTTTTCAGAAGGGAGATGTTCTCACAGCAGAACAGGCACAGCTCCTCAAACTCGTTGGAATTCAGATGGTCGAGTTCAAAGTTATGCCCGTTGGGTGGTGGAGCGAAGAAAAAGGTTATTCCCGGATAGGGAATCATGACGCTTCTGACTCTAGTAGCGGTAACAACGAGGACGACAAGGCGGATTCAGGAGGAAGTGCAAGTGAGGACGAAGAGTAGAAAAAAAAACAAATAATTATGTGCCTGATTCCTGTCATATCATTTTTCGTTTGGTTTGCTAGTGTACGTTTTAATTTTCTACCATTGATAATTTGCCTCAGTACTGCTTGATTCTTCCCGCGGAAGGACTTTGCGTGGTCGAGCACTGCTATGAGTGCGCAATGAACACCGGGTTAGCTTCAGCTTGTAGTATATATTTTGCGATATACAGTAGACCGAGGAAGGTGATAATCGTACGCCGGAAGCACAAACAATAAAGTGGGAACGAAAAGTACTGCGAAAAAAAGGATGAACGTCCTATTTCATTTTCTGCTCAACAAACAAGACATGACGCTTTACTGCATAACGTTATTATAGTCAGTTCAAAATAGAAAAGGGTGTGGATGGTATGTATAAGAAGTTAACACATACTCATGGGATCGTATTTCTTGATGCTAAACGTAGGATATTTCCTATTCTTCTGTGTGGTGTAAGTATACCCAGTACGCGCGGTGGAGACCAGCCGAATTAATACCATCCTTAAATGCACCCGTATCCGAACACACATATATATAGCAGGATCGAGAAATAAGGGGAGAGACAAAGTGTCACTTCAGTATCAAAATCTGCATGAAAACTATTTGTGGGAACTTTACCGGGCCTTCGCCTTCGCTGCCATATTATAAGCTAATAATAATATCACGACCTCAGATGATGTTGGAGAAACGACAACGACTCAGGGGTTCAGCGATAAGTCGAAATACGTACGTCGCCGGTCGTGACGCAAACGATGAGGCAAGGTGGTAGTTTCAAAGAATTTGTGTTGTCTGAGTCGTGTGATGAAGTTCCCACGTATGTAGCAGAAAAGCAATGTACGTAGGACTTCAGCCTCCTTCCAATCAGATTGGAGTAGTACGTCCATTCCCGTTAAAGCTGTGCATGCTGGGTACCTCTCAGCATATTATTATTCCGCCCGTTGCTGTTGGAAGGAGCAATATCGATCCTTTTCAGTCCCACTGACTCTGCGGGTGATATGGCTGGGAGTACACTTGTCTTCAACATCACACACTAACTGTACTGCTTAAGAGCGGTGTGTTATTTCGATTCAGTCCCGTACGACAAATGGATATCGCGCGCGCCAAGTCCGAAGGATTGCCACGGCACACCCATGCCACAGACTGTCCTCATCGACCACAAAATCTCTCATTCTTGCCAAAGCGCTTAGCTAGATACACAAAAAATCGCACAAAAATTTCTGGGATAGCTTGGGAATTGAACAAAACAAGTTCTTGATTATGTGCTTCTACCAACTTGTCATTCCGCATGACTCAGAAGGTGAAAACCCTGGCTAGGAACACCCGTCTTCTTGTCGTCTTCCACAAAATATAAGCCGAATTGGCGAGGCACAACTATTCTGATATGTGTTCCTTCTCGATCCATATTCCAATGTCCCCTTCCCTTCCTCGCTTGCATCCAGAACCACTTTTGGACTACTGGCGAGGAAGAGATATTGTGGGGAGTTGCCGCCGCCGCCCTGGAGAATATGTCGAATCTTGCGTTTTTCACTTGGCTAGTGCCTCTGGCTCTTCAAGTCCTAATGAGGCTACCGTGTTTAGACACGTAGGGTCTCCCCTCGGACATTGCAGGTTTCTTCGCTCCCTCCATCGGTGGAATTGTCAGAGCTATTGTGCTAGCTCTTGAGTCGACTACTTGGTTGCGAAGAATGTTATATATAGAGAGGCTGAAGGAATTCCTCTTGGGACAATATCCGGATATCGAACATCAGACAGTCTGTTTCCTTTCGAACTGTTGATAGGCATTTAGAACTCGGGATACCGCTCGAGTGGACCGAACCACACAACTGGTAGCCTCAACCTTTTGTTGGCCTCTTTTCACGAGCACGCTGGAAGAGAAGCTGCGCGTCCTCCGTTTTCGAAATGTTTAATGCGACCCCGATATCTTTTTCCCTCTTCTTGAAGGCTCATAACACGATAACGGAGCTTCGAATGGACGAATATTTTACTTGTAGTCGCTAGCATTTGTTCTGTAGACGAGGTCACCTCCTGGCACCCATTTGAGACTCTCCCGAATTTTCCTCAACGAGTGAGAGCGCCGGTTACAATGCCTCCTAGTCGGCCTCGGAAAACAGTGTTCATTTCGACAGACCGGGAGTCTGCAGGTCTCTTTGAAACACGGAGGCCTCTGCCTAATCTCCGCTGTATTGAGCTAAGTGTTGCAAGAGGTCATATCTCATTGGAATGAATGATACGATCCCCGTGTTGAAATGGGGTGAAATGGGAGGCAATGAGGTTAACTTTCCCGTGAGGAGGTAAGCGTTCCATCTTCTCATCCACGCGGGGGCCCTGACAAACCAAGGGGTACAGAGCTCTGATGCGATTTCCTCGCCTCCAGACAATTATAATACCTTGACCGTGCGAGATTATTCCGAAGCTGTCCAACGTTTCTGAGAGTTGATCCTCACGAAGGAGCTTTCAAACGGTCACGGGTATCCCAAGAAGCCGAGTGTCCTTGTGACGGCGGATAGGAGACAGCTTGCAACGAATATGATGCAGAATGGCTGTAGTCCTTTTTCCCCTCCCCTCAGTCGTATACGGGTTATTGATACGCCTGATATGGATCCGGCGGGAGAATGTGCGTGATTGGATGTGATACGACACTGATGTAAGTACGCACAAGATCAGAGCTTATGCAAGCGATTTGCTTACACCACGCAGCAAACAAGGAATCTGCAATACGGTTAGGAGTGTCCGTGAAGATCATCAGCATCATACACTCACAATAACCGTGTAACATATCATTTCAACAACGGATCAAGCCCTGACGATCGCCATGACAGTCGTCATCCCCAATCAACGAAAGTTCTCTCATTCCTACCATGCCGCTTGGTTAGGAATACAGCAGGTCAGATCTTGGAACATTGGGCACAAGGCATTTCATGTGCATCTTTTGGCACCGTGGTGGTGTACCTGAATTGGATTTACACCGCGCGTATCGTTGGCGCAGGGTGTCATGGATATATAGTGATGAAGTAACAACATTTCTAGGTAAGAATTAACAAGGTAAGAGAGGGTGAGGGCCTCCCAGCACAGTTCAGGGGGACGGGTACAGCACCGTCCAAACAACCTTGTCATGCGGTCGGTCAGATTGCCGATGGGGCAAAACCATGTCCCCGACAGCGATTATGCGACTAATGCTCCCTTCAATTTCGCACTGCGTACAATCGAATTACATACTGCAATAAGTTTGTGTACCTCTTCGGTGGTAGCAATTTGCCTATTGCAGCAAACCCCGGCCACTTGTTCCTGATTTTAGGCCAAAATGGTGCTTCCGTTCTTGGAGGGACACTATTGATGGAAGAACGTACAGTAAGCAGGGCCCAAAAGGTATCGTAGTAAGCCAAATCGTGGAAGGTATCTCAATTCAAATGGTAGAGGACCATGTGCTTGGGGGCGTCCACAACAGTGCCCGTACGTCCAGTTTAAAAATGGACACTCCACCTACCGAACGTTGCCAGGATGGAATATTTGTAGGACCCGCTATGAAGCGGCGGGAAGTGACTGCGCGTAAGTGACCTCCAGAGCCGCCGGCCGCCGGCCAGTTGTTTGAATATGTTGTACGTAACCCCATGTGGATTCCCGGTTCATCTTGGATAGACTCTCAGATGCATTGCGGTCTGTCCCTGACCGCCAATCAATCGAGACCATTGCCCCGGAATTACGGGTCTGATATCGATAAGTATAGATGGAATGGGTGATTCTTCCAGAAATCTACGCCTCTTGAAGATCCTCCCCTCAAGTCTGAGCACTGTTCCACAAAGTAATATCCCACACGTTATTTCACGATTCAAGCAAGACCATTCTAACCCTCTCCTTAGAAAGGTGTCTTCAAAAGCTAGGACGCTGGAAAACTACGTGAGGATTGCGATACATGCTTTAGCCTTTCATATGGCGAATGACCGACCATCCGGACCCCCCCAGAAGCCCAGCCCTAGACTGCTCAGTTAAACTCACCGCCCCATGACGCCTATAGACAATTTATTTGGGGGCTATGTCTCTGGAATGTTCCTTAATGCAACGTAAGAAGCACCGCACGCACAGTCAAATCACCAATAGAGCTTGTCACCATCCCACCGTTGTCACCCAGGCTGCTTGGTGCAACAACGATCCAAGTATCCACATACTTTTCAGCGTACGCTGATGATCCGCCGTTGACAAAGCTTCTAGTAAGTATTGGAGAAACCCTTTCTGGACTCTGATGCTAACGCTTCTCAACGACCTACTATGCTGCCCATCCCACGGCAGGTTGCATTTCTAACGTACATAGTCTTATTATTACCCAAAATTTACGCCAGACTCGCTGACGACTCTATAGTGCATTGCAATTCTTCAACCTGTAAGCCCTGCCCTGATTGGTGTCATTTGGATGCTCGCCTAGTGCAACCATTCCTAGAGGCTGTATGACAGAAACAGTTTGGGTTCTGGTAGTTTCCGAACGCCCAGTTCTCGCCCGTAATCCATGGTATTTCTCTACATCCGATCGGTAAGTTCAGAACTGATCCTGTTCCAAAGGCAGGGCAGCTTTTTTTCGTTCACGACGGTCCGTCCCAAGTTTAGACAACGCTCCAGTTCGAAGTTGATCCCTCTCAAGGTTATCTCATCCTCCTTAGTTCATTTCTTCTTCATCGGGCGAATCAGAAAAAGCATGTGCTGTCTCGACCTCGTTACTTCGTGGATTGATTAATCTTCTGTAGTGACCAGACCCCCTTGGCTGCCCCTGGTAATTGTACGTTTCTGTGTCAAATATGTGCTTTCAGGCATACTTACCAACTCTCTGTAACAGCTAATGACAGCATTAACCACGTTAGGTGCGTTCTTACGGGTTGGGAGCGGCTGTTCTGCGAACTGACATTCTGGCCTAACGTTCAAGGCTGTGGCTTAGGTAAACCAAAATCAATTTGACTTCTCTGGTCGTGAGCGCTGAGGAAACAGCTCGGCGATTAGATGTTGCAGTGTCATCGTAAGTTAGGTATATATCGCTAAGCTATCTAAGATGATGCCCCGATACCTCGTTAGGGCAAGAATCCAAAATGTTGTTCTGGTGCATGGGCGTCGTGATGACATTATTGGATGGTGTACGTCCCAAGTAAGTTGAAATTCAGGTCGATGCAGTTTCGTACTCACTGCTGATGCCATCATGTTAGGCGGTAACTGACATACTGGTGGCAGGGAGTATGGTGGCGCTGCTATGGCGTAGTCGCACTGGGTTTCGACGGCACGTAGGAAATTGTGGACCTGACTTCGTATTTCAGTCTGACTCCAACTTTAGAACGGATCGGGTTCTCACCTTGATGGGAATATACGCCGTGAACACCGGCTTAGTACCATGGTAACTACCACTCCCTCAGTTTCCTCTTCGCACCTGAATTCAATGATCTCCTTTGTTAGCATCATGGCCATCGTAATGGAAATTATCGTGAGCGAGGCTCACGGATGAGACAGTCCCTTGCTAATTGGCCTTCCAGTTTCTGTCTTACACGAGATCGGTCCATTTTATTTACGTCCTCTTCAATACAGTAAGGATACCATGTTCTACTACCGGTTGGAATGCGTTGTTTTAGCTGCCGTTGTATAGTCTTTAGGAGGGGTGTACACCTTCACTCTCCTTGCAAAGTTGAGTTGTCAACCTCGGTTGTCGAGCATCTATTCACTTGAACTTTTCAGCTTAAATGCACGAATTCGCATGCGGTCGTGCCTCCGCCCGAAAAAGGGTGAAGCGATCAATAATGAGTCTATCTTCATTCCTCCACAGGTGGGAGTTGCGATGTCCTAAATGTCATTGTTGCTTACCGCATTCAGAGCCTGCGGATCGGACCAAGTCCACCACATTTGAGCGGCGATGCTCCCGGCGTCCAATATACCAATGAGCGTTACGGTGGGCAGCCCAATTCCTGCTGTGTGGTTAAACTTTCTGATGCTGTGTCTCATTAGCAGTGGTTTCAAGTGATGATATACCGATGGGTGATGTTGTTACCGCATAAACCCTGTTTCAAGAACCTGAGGGGAAAGGTATTCTAATCAGCCGGCTATTATCATTATGCCAAAAGAATACCCACGTTTTGCTCAATGTTATATTCATGCATTCATTATGATCATGACTTTCATGCCGCAGAGAGTCGAGCGCAGCTGCACAACTGCTCAATGCATTTTTTGGTGTCAGTTCCAAGTATCATTCGACATATACCAGAAGGCTGTGAAAGGGTGTGACCCGAGCGTGCACGGGGGCGAGCTTCTCGTATATTAATTTGGGGGCTGTACCGTAATATTGGTGTTGGTCTGCCAGTGCACATGTGTAGTGCTTGAGAGTGAACATATACACAACAGGGCAATATATCTACAGGGCAAGCCTATCAAGAGAAATTGTATCGATATTAATATTGATGAGAGCCTTGCGAAGCCACGGAGCGAAAGGGTTTTGTAGGCGACTCTCGAATAGCGCACGACAATGTGATGCAATCTGATCATCACCTAAAGCCACCACATTGGCAAGCGAACTGGGGAAAGAGAACTGTATGACGGTAGCCGATTCCCTGTGCGAGGAATTGAACAGGGTTGGAATGGCATAGAAATCCTGCAAAAACTAACCGTCTACCTGCCAATTCTAGTGAGACGTTTACCAATTTCAAAGGTACGTTTGATAAGAAGACTTGGGATTGAGCCGTGTCGAGTACAGGCGCGTAAGATACCGGATACTCCAGAAGATAACCGGCGAGTGCGATCGCGTCTGACGTTGACATTGGTGGAAGATCCACGCCAATGATGCAATCACTAGCCCCCACGTCCCGAAAGCGCTCTTCTAGGAAAGATAGTGCGCTCCTGACCCCTCTGGGGCAAGGGATGCGCTTCGGTACGTCAGATGCAGTGATGAAGTGTGTTTCAGTCGGACGGCCGTTCCTCAACTCGGCCAGTAAAATGTTGGCGTTCACGAGAAATACTTGCGAAGAAGATGGTTCTTGAAGCACAAAGGTACCTTCAAATCCGCTCGAAATCTACTGAGAGGAAGAGAGGAGGGTCCGTACACAAGGGATACATGTAATGATCAAATCGTACTTTCCGAAGCTGTCCCACCACATCATCAAGAATGAGCCTATCAACCGAAACGGAGTCCACTAGGCATGCCTGTCTTTTCCGGGGAGCGAGAAGCATATGAGTGAGGGGATCGAGCCAGACACAAAATCAAGCGCAAGCGACGGTCTTAAGTTTCAACGGGTAAGTACCTTAAACCAATCGCAACGAACTGGAATTCTACCGCCGTTTTGCGAATAGCATCCAAAAAAACACGCCGCACCCGTCCAGAGGCGGCTCCCAAACTGTTTCTGAGCGCTGAAACGATGTGCTCGAATTGGGCTTCACGGCTGTTGGATGAAGACATGATTGATGTCCAATTGGTTCCCACGCTCCGGCGTCAAATGTTGACCGAGGTCAACGAAAGCGCTGTCCATTTGTTCAAAATTCGTACCCTCAGCCTTTCCCGCTCCTGTTGCGCCGTATCAGGCCACTATAGTTCAAACAAAAAAGGGAGACTCATCTTTTCTCGATGACTTCTTGGTGCCACAAGATTCTTCTGCTGTAGTAGGCAGGTGACCAGCCTCTCTTTAACGGGAAGCCGCTTAAGCAAGGTGCATACGGTTCCCAATGCACATTATATCATTTCCGTGTGGCTAAGGAGGATGGTCTCTGCTGGAACCACTCCAGAAATCGAATCGGGGGAAGCATCGAATCCACCTGTGTATCCGACACCGTTGCTACGGGGCTCTCATGTGTTCTGAAGCTCGTTTTTTAATTCATTGGCGTTGCTATGTATCGCGCTTCTTCGTGGCCATAAAATCCTCTCTCTCCCCAGTTGCCGCCCACTTAATGATATGTTCACAATGTGCTGTAAACCTGCAAGTGCAATTCCCTGGCTTCGGAGTGATCGATCGTCCGTGAATAATGACGGCGGCACTACCCTAGACATCGTGAGCATACGGGTTCCGGTCATGGGACCGCTGCGAACTGTGGGGGGGGGGCACGATTTCTTAGACCTATTGCGGTTTAGGAAAGTGCGCACTCATCTTGAACAGTGGGTATGGTCTTCCCCGGACCCGGGTGCGAAGACGAACGTATTATCAGAAGGCTTACTCAAGTCTTCCTGGATTTGTGTGGAGGATGACTAATAGCCGGTTCCCATTCATTCACGACCCGATAAGCTCCAACTCGGTATATAAGATGACGATTGTGCTCACCATCGACTCCCCACTAACCTCATCCACTACTACTACCTTTTGTGCTCTGTGTCTGGAACTATGCCTTCCCTCGCGTCCCCAGCAAAGGTCCTAGTAACTGCTGCAAATGGCTTTATTGCGACATGGATCGTCTTCGTCCTCATCAATCGAGGCTACAACGTCATCGGAACGGTGAGGTCAGCGCCGAAGGGGGATTTTCTAAAGAAGAAGTTCGGAGATAAATTTGATTTCGTTATCGTTGAAAATCTTGAAGTGCGTTGGTTCAAGTTCGCTCATTTAGGGCCCAACAAACAGTGAAAAATGATGGTGTTACAGGGGAATGCATTCGACGAAGCCGTCAAGTCCACAAACCCCGATGCCATCATCCACACTGCGACACCCATCGATGTCTCCGGTGATCCTCAATCTATCATTAGGCTGGCTGTAGAGGGGACTCTTGGGATTCTTCAAAGTGCTCGGCAATTTGGGTACGGAGTAACTTGTCTTTAGGGCGCACTTCTAATCAAATGGAGATCAGGCACAACGTCAAGCGAATAGTGATTACATCATCTATAGCATCTATATTGGAATCCAAGGATGTCCCCTCATACACCTTCACGGAGGTAAGCATGACGACCAAAGATTCATGTTAGCGATACTGAGGGTTTTTGCTTCAACAGGACGACTGGAACTCGGAGTCCGAGAAAATCGTTGAGCGAGAGGGAACGAATGCACCAGCAGGGCACACGTATCGAGCAAGCAAGACCAAGGCCGAACAAGCTGCCTGGAAGTTCATCGACGAAAATAAGGGCTTGCACTTTGATCTGACTACTATCTTGCCTAGTGTGGTATGCTTTTCGTTTCTATAAATCATCGGCTGGAGTTAACTTGGGGTTTTGCTGCATCAGGTCTTTGGGGTAAGTTGGTGGCGGTGCATATCGACGTTCTCTGGCGTTGATCTACTCCTATATCTATATTCACTTGTAGCCGATCCTACACGAGGTGAGAAAAAACCCTTATGGTGTTTACCCGATGCCTTTTCCTGGTTAATTCGATTCAAAGGTCAAGGACGTATCTGCCTTGAATGCTACTATCGCGTTGTTCCGTTACAGCGTGTTCAAAGGCGCTCCCCTGGGCACCTTTTCTAACAATTTCGTGGACGTCCGAGATGTCGCTCTTGCGCATGTTTTAGCCCTAGAGGTGCCAGAGGGAGGTGGGGAACGCATTATTACATCCAGCGCGCCTTTCTTCTACCAGCAAGCGAGTAAGTTATTGCTTTCGCTTATTGTTGCTCATATGGAAGGTTTGATATTGAAAAAATTCTCTCCACCCACCAGTCGACGCACTGGTTGCAGCCGGATATAACATCCCTCTTCGTGAGCCATGGGAGGACACTTCGGTTCCACATGCGGCTATAGCGAACAACGCGAAGTCGAAGAAAATCTTGGGAATCAATTATCGAGATATCAAAGAGACGTCCGTGGATACCTATGCAGAGTTGCAGGGGCGATTCCCGGAATCATTCCCTTGAGCGATCAGATCATCCTTCTTGGAACCGATGTAACGTAAAAGATTTCAAAAGACCGCGGAGTCATGTACCCCCGAACCGCTTGTACCACCTCACATGTAAATCGATAGGCTTATGAGCCACAATTTAGGTCTGATTTTGGATACTTCTCAGTGGAAAAGAGGATTTATTAGTTAGATGGACACCTTATTCATGTGACCTATACACCAAAGACTGAAAGGTAAACGGTTTCGAATGAACACAGAGTGCACGATCGAGTAATGCAGAATGCCAGCATGTCGGCGAAAGTATTAAGCACTGACGAGGTTGTGTCTCGTCCGACCTTTCGCAAGGGAATACTACTCTGCTTCGCTCGCTTCAGAACCAAAACTCCGCGGGGGTTGTTGCTGCAAGCACTCGAAAAAAAAGGCGTGTTCTCACATGGAGAAATAAAATTGAGAGGTGTGTTCGTGAAAGGGGGTGGACGTCTTGAGGCCTAAGGTTGAATCATGTCCTCTTCTTCTTTCCTCAGTTGCACTCAGTCCGATTCGCGGTGCACTACCCATCCGTGGGGCGCGCCTCCTCTGCAAGCGCAAATGAGTGTCCAGCGTAAGTTCGGCCTTAGTCTCGACATCTGCCCAGTGCGCCGTTGACGTCACGAGTTTAGGGTGGGGGATGTGGATGGGACGCCGGATTCGATGGCAAGTGTTTAATGGTCATGTCGTCGCGAACACGAGCGTGAAGCCTGGATTAGGATCGTGATAGTGGTGGTTGTGTGATAGAGTACCCGTGCCATTGTTGTTGCTGGTGCTTTTGTTATGTGGTGCCCTAGATGGTGCTGGTATGTGGGTGAAAGAAGGAGATGTCGACTTGAGAGTGTGGCGGTAGTGGAGGAGTGCGTAAGCCACTGGCCAATTGGGACCTTGTTGAACCAGAACGGGCGCGGGATTGAGCGTTATTCGGCGTTGGTGTTCTCATTTTCGTTGTTTTCGTCGCGTCTTGTCGTTCTTGTTGGATTTTTAAAGTCGCTAGTGGCCCATAAATGGTAGAGACGGAGAGGGGGGCGGAACGTAGGTGAGCCATTTGAATTGTATGATCGCGATGACCATTATCGAATTGGTCGTGTACGAATCGACGCTACTCCTGCCCGACCGTGCATCGCGAATGCTACCGAGGGGAACTTTGGTGGCTAGCGCTGCCAATATCCCCTCCCCTTTCTAGAGGACCTCTCTCTGCTTATTTTTGTTTCTGTTCCCCAAACCAACATTCTTCTCTCTCCTCGCCGTCCAATCCATCTTCCACATTGCCGGAGGGTATCCCCCCAGAACGTAAAAGTGGGCGCAGGCAAGGGTTGCACGACTATTCGAACAGTGTGCCCCTTTCTAGACGCACACGTTATCAATACCCTTATTGCTACGCCCAACGATAGCTCTGGCCCCATCGCAACGGTCGCCTCCTCTCTATCGATGGTCCACACAGTAGCTGCACATCGTATTGAGTCAGTCGTCCAAAGACGGGACTACCCGCCCTGGCTACAGTCATCCCTGCTCTAGCAGCCGCTCTGCCGACCGGGTGTCGAAGTAGGATTTGAAATGTTGGTGAGGGTTGATAAGGGTGGGGGAGGGAATATTTGGCCTCGAGACATCCTGACGAGTATGGGTGGGAAGGAGAGGAGAAGAAGGGATGCAGTCATGATGGGTTCGAGGTTGTTGGATGGACGATTTGAAATGTATCACTGTAGTTCTTTTGTTCTGGTGACATGTCAAGTAGGGGACGTCAAGACCGTTCATCACGTCCCAATCAAAACATATATGACTCGGAGTGCGTCGTACGGCGTTGTCAGCGTTGGGGTTTAAAGTGGAAAGATTCTAGTGGACGAGCACTGACGAAGAGTATTCCACACTGCGATGATTGAGAGGGCACAGGTCGTGGCGTATCGAGAGGCGGTCCGAGTATGAGCTCAGGAGGAAGTTGGGATGATAAATCGCTGAGCCGCCCGTTCGGAGAGCAAGTACGAGTCAGCGGAGGAGTGGAAAGAGACTATCCGGATACCAGAACGGGAACGGGGAGAGGAGAGCAAACGATTGTTGATCTATGAGCACTTATCTGGTTGGTGCGTGGAGAACTGAGCAGCTATCTAAAAACTTGGCTCTTGACACCAGATCGCAAGATCGAGAGACGATACAGAAATCGGAGGAGAATAAGCTATAAGAGTGTTTCGCGACGACTCAAATTCGTCACCTCCAGAGGAGTGCAAGCTCGAAGCCTCATCAGAGACGCTGGGGGTCCAAAGGGACACTGCCGGATCATCAACTTAATTCGCTAGAATGTGTAGCCATTCCGATACTGAATTTACACACTGGCAGTGGGAGTATTGTACTGGCACGACCAACAACCGGCTAGGGTTGGAGCGTGACACCGGACATCCAACCGGCAAGCCTGAGTGGTGCGTGACAACCGACCGGCTGAGGCCAGGACTGCGTGACACAAAACACTCTGGGTATGTTTGGGTGACGGATTTTCAGTGGGACTCTGCCTGATGGCCTTGCCGACGTGAATGATGGCCTTCAGTTGGATTGGATTGGTGCTGAAGAGGCTGATGCGGAATCCATTGGAGAAATCGTTGCGGGGTCTGAAGTGGATAGTGGTGAGTTGGCACGGGGTAGACGCGCTAAACGGGTGAGAAATCTGGAGAAGGAAATGGCGAGGTACCGCTTTTGACAGTGTAGTTGCCAAATTTGGGAGATTTGAATTGAAAATTTGTACAACCATTTATTTTGCTCGAAGTGCGTGACACCTGGACATTGGACCTGCGTTACGCGTTACAAATTTCAAAAAAGTGCCGACCGGGAGGGTTCGGCGTTACGCGTTACAGGTGCCAGTTAGGCATTTGCCGAATTCGACGCGATCCTCTCTCAAGAAGTTACTCGGTGGGAATGTAGTTAGGACACTTGTAGACTGATAATATCTAGCCCAGTCACTTTGCTATCAAGTCGAAGCCCAAGCGTGCATTGGGGTTAAAACTTTATATATTGGCCCAGAGTCACGTTTTGGTATCCATTTGAATGTGTGGGTTCGGTTGGCAATTTTTTTGGCATTTCCATACGCATATGCGATGCAGTGGTGACTTTCTTCTATGTATAATTAGGGACATCAAAAAATTTTAAAGCAAGTAATTGACTTCTTTTCTGAGAGAGGCTGACTGTGGTCTCGTCGCATTTTTTCGTAGTAGGCGGTCGGATTTAGACTTTACCTCCGTGTAGCATATGGCCTTTTTATTTATATTGGAAATAGAACGTGACTCCACATTTATAATACAAAAAGTGCTTAGACGTTGTGTGTCGCGCGTCCACGAGCAATGACGATTGAGTACGAGTCTGGTCAAATCCGGAAGTCTGTTGGAAATGGTAATGGTCATTTCAAGCGTATTTTTACAACATTTTTTTGGCTTACATAACCAAGTGTCAGGTTGGAGCGATGAAGTTTTCTTGGTCAATTGCCTTTGCACACGGATCCCGCACACCAGCGACAATCGAAGTAAATAGCCATCGTAGATTGTCCGCACGTCATAAAATGCGTACTGATGCCATCTGCAGTTGGGTAACAATATCCACTTTCTCCGTCCGAGGAGTTCCAGTGGCCAAGTTCATCGGGAACTGTGATCGCCACACCGCAAAGCGTAACGATCAGTGGTGACCCGAGGCTGACCATGGGGAAGTCAGAGCCCAGGTGATTTGCCTGGCGGCAACCATCTGTTGGGGAAACACATTTGTTAAACCCGAGAAAAGTTCATTCCCGGCTCCGGTTTACCATGGTCCGATGGGAGGAAAACCCAATGCAGTGAAGCCTTGCCGGCACCGGTAAAGCTGCCTATGTGCTCTGTCCAAGCGCCTATTCCAAGGTGGAAATCAGCCACTATGGCAATCGGAAGTAGGGTGATGAGAACTAAGGCATTCCAGAATCGCATTGTGAAGGTCGGCCAACTGCTACTTATACAGGTAATGTATGTGGCGTGATAAGTATGTTGGCCAAGAAGTTCGAACCTCGGTCTCGAGTAGAACACCTAGAGGGCTGAGGAGAAAACCGGGGGAACCATTCTTCAACAGGCTTTATACGAGATTCCGGTACTCAGTCTTGGAAGAGCGAAAAATAATTATCGAGATATATTGCAAACAGGTATGATTATTGCAGTTAAATAAGAAATGAAGACACATGTGCTCGGTCCTGCGTGTTTGCGACCGTAAGCGACGTACATTTGCCATCATCTAACCGGATACAGTCCGCATGGGAGAGTTCGATCACTCCCCTCTGCGATGCTCCCCATTTTAAATCCCACCCTGATAACTGCTAGACAACTGCTTACCCTGCTACTCTCCGTACTGCTGAGTAGGATTTAGGATGCATCAATGGCCGCTCTGCCAAGGGCCTGCGTCCGGATTCTAACCACATGCACGCTACATTGGGAACGATTTTCCTGCCGGAATTGAGCAATGTTGTATAATGATTGCGCGCCCCCGAAATCTAGCAGGAAATTTCGTTAAAAACACCTTATTCCTGGTTACCGATGTACAGGAGCCAAGAATGTATTGGGCCTATTATAAGCACCTCCACATGTGAGGCCACTATGTACATGTCTTAACTGGCAGGTATTTCGGCAATATTAATGATGTGGCAGTGAACAGGAACAGTTCGGAGGATTGTTTTTCACTCTTCAAAGACTGAGAAGATAGCGGAATCTCCTATAAAGCCTCTGAAGGATGCCCCCCCTGTTTCTCCTTAGTCCTCTAGGCGTTTCGCTCGAGATCGAGGTTAGAACTTCTTGATTCATGTGGCTGATATATCTATTCACGCAACAGACATTACCTGTAGCAGTCGGCCGACCTTCACAATGCGATTCTGGAATACCTTGGTTCTAATCACTCTACTTCCGATTGTTATGGCTGAGCTCCACTTTGGACTAGCTGCTTACTCAAGTAAAATAATGGGCCTTGCTGCATCATCCGGCCACGCTTCATTGCATTGGGTTATCCTCCCAGCGCAGAATGGTGAACCGAAGTCAGAAATGAAATCTTCTCCAGTTTAATGAATATTTTCCCTAACAGCTGGTTGCCTGGAGGCAAATGACCAGGTGGGCGGGTTCCCCGTGACGGACATCCCCCTCGGTTCACCCCTGAGCGCTGTAATTTGCAATGTTTCCGTTACGATTTCCTATCGGCTTGACAGGTGGTTCGACGATAATGGAACAAGCGGAGAGTGCCACCCAGTTTATTCAGGACCTTCAGGTGTCTGGTTTGCGCATTTTGCGACATGTGTCACACCTTGGGCGGCGATTTACTTCGAAGTGCGCCGGTGCCCCTCATACGTGTGCGAAGGTTGGGTCTGGGGAGCGACCAACTCTTCAAGTTAAGGGCTATGTCGTGTATGCTCAGTCTCGGATCAGAGAAGTGTATAAATATTGTAAATAATTAGTTGAACTGCTTTCTGAAACCGATAAGCACAGACAGTAATGAGGACATGGTTTTGTTTTTTTTAGCAGTAGCTTTCGCGATATACTGTACGCGTACTCATCAGGAAACCTCCGAGGTTGATCCTGCCGGTTGAGATCATCTGAATGTCAATCGCTCTGGGATCACGCCAACCAGGTCCCTCGATCTCAATCAACCGGAATCCACGGGATTTTTCAGAAATCTTTGGTTGGTTGGGATGGTTGGTCTGAGTTCACTGGTTAGGCTCGTTTTGCAATCACCTCAACCGGATCCCAGGTTGTGGATTATAGGAACGGTTCATATGGTCCAATCCATTTATGTGATTGGCTTTCTGTCAGACATCTATGCATCATACAAGTCATGCAGCGGAAATTCCCGCTACTCTGTAGCAGGTCTTGTAGAATTTTCGACCTTGATTGAATGCGTTTGATGACAAGGTCCTCTATTATTGCCAATTCGGGATAACCCAGGGTCCTCCCATTATTATCCATTCTCAGTTATACTCTTATCTTCCCCCGGCATTCTTTCTACTTCTCGATCGTTACCCAGCAACTTGCCATCTTGTTCACGCAATGTTCAAAGAAATCCGCATACCATCCGTTAAGGATTGCAAAAAGATCAGTGTTGTCGAGGCATTCCAAAGTAAGCACAAGTGCCGATGGTTATCCTTTGTGGCCATCATTCACTTCACTTGAGCACAGAACCTTTGACCTCCGTCTTCCTCTGTGCATGCCGAAGTGTGAGGCCCCGGCCCATGTCTATATTCCGCCCACAACATCAGTTGATGTTGTGTTGTGTAATAATTATGTCACGACGCTAATTTAGTGTCGCGGAAGCTTCTCTATTTATTTGTGCTGAGAATGTATAAGATTGTATATAAACCCTCGGGGTAGCTGTAAAAGGTGGATCAGCCTTTACTTCTACCCCATTAATATACAGCCAAATCAAGCATATACTTAGACGGACTTCTGAGGCCTGAGGCGAATGGGGGAACGGAACGTTACCGTCCCCAAACTAGTAAGATACCTTTCACTTTTTTACACTCTTATTCTCTTTCCATTCTCGGCACCGTGTTACCGGTGCCGAAACCCCATTTGGCAATGCGCGCGTTGTCGGCCCCTGACAACGTGTGACTTTGATCAAGTTCTCACGTGAACTTGTTGAACGACTTGACACCTCTTCTGGATGTCGTGGAGATACAACACCAGGAGCACGTCCAACGCTCCTGCCAACATGGTCAGCCCCTCCACTGGCCGTAGGGCGGAAGATGACACCACCTCAAGTGATGGTGGTGATCTGGGCCTGCAAGGGCCCAGGGACGCGTCTCAGATGCGTCCCACGTTGACGAGGTCACAACGTCTGAAGCCCTCGCAGCGGAGACCCTCGCGGCATTCGTCCCAATGTGCGCGTCGCGTCCTCCATCCCCAACCCACTCCCTCGCATCTGAAACGGCACGAGTACTAAGAAATCGCATCGACCAAGTTGACGATGACATCGCCGACTTGAGAGGCGATGTCCGTAACATGAATACCCAAATCTCTGGGAATAGCGATAACATTGCTCATCTAGATCGTAACATCATTAAGGTGGAGGAAAGACTTAGTGAGAAACTAAACGAAATTCTCCTCGCGCTCTCTCGACGCGACGAGCCAAAGCCACCCACAGCAACGGTGGATAACCCACCTGCAAACCCTCCAGTGAACCCAACAACGGGTGGAGACCCTGTCGTCGTCTCTGACCAGACGAAAAAAACCGCTGTTGAGGCGCAGGCGCCCCAAGAGGTCCCTGTAGTCCCTGTTAATCAAACGGGTCAACCAATCACTAAACCCGCTGTGGAGGCGCAAGTGCCCCAGGAGGTCCCTGTAGTCCCCGTTAATCCAACGGGTCAACCAATCAGTGGGGTCCCCATACCTGGAGGGATCCCCACTGTCTCTGCCGTCGTCACAGAGGCGACAAGTTCACGCCCATCCGTCGAGGTACAAGAATCTGACGGACATTTTGTTCCCATCTTTAGTGGAACTAAGCCACCTACCCCGCCGACGGCACCAGTAACCACTGACGCCAAGGGAAAAGGTAGGGAGATCGACCCAGGACAACTGGCTGGATCGTCGACTGCAGGGGAGAGTGGAACTTCTCCATTCCATCTCAGACCAGGCTTCGTGCCCGCGCCGTTCATTCTGTCATCCCAACCCACGAACGGTGGGGTGAAAATACCACGCATTGACGCTACTCAAA